CCCATGACTTAATAACAGTGTAAGTCGAAAAGTGGCAAGCTTTCATATGTCGAATTGACGTTTATTTCTTTCAATTGGCAAACTTTCAGCAACAAAAAAAAAAAACCTCAATAACGGCGAAAACGTCACGCTGTCGATCGCGTGTGCGCTATTGAAGAAGGGGCGTGTGCTGTGACGTTTGCTGTCACACGATTTCTTGCAAAGAAGAGTGACCGCAATAAAATAAAATACAAATAAAAATGCAAAGAGTTCGAAAGCGTGTGTTTTTAAATTGATTTTAATTAAAAATACTATATTTATAAAGTCAACAAATCACCTAAAAATGCAATGCTTTGATTAACTTATTTGATTTTATTTTTATACAAATTATTGTCTTTTCCGGTTTTTTTCAAAATCACATTTTTTTAATTTTTTGCTCATTTTAGTATTTACGCAAATGATTTTGCGTACATTTTCTGAGAGGCATACACGTACATGCATACATAATACCTTTATGAATACGTTACTGAAAATATCAGTCCCTTTGTGACTGGCAAAACCAGTTTTGATTGTCGTGTAAATGAATTTCAAAATTGCATTCTTTTAAAATATTCATCCTTGAAATAATTCCATTAACATTTGAATTAATCACATACATTGTTTTTGTGCTAAAATTAATAAAAATATAAATCACATAATACAGTTGAATAATTCTGTATTTTATTTACAAATGTATGTATGTATATACAGTACATCCATACACATGTAATATTTGAGAAATGCGCTAATTGCTGGGTCATGAAACTTATTTGAAACTTTCGATGTGAGCACATGCGTCGATCACTTGATATGCGAACTTGAGTTGCTAAAATGTGCAGTTATAGCATATGTGCATACATATATATGTACAAGTATATTCACATGTGTCTGCCATAGCCCCCTTTTTCACGTGTGTGGCCCAGCTGGCATTTGTCGCTGATATTGTTTTTGTGGTCGCTGGCAAATCTCTTTATTATAGAAATTAACACTTCGGCATGTGACATAGAAATAGCCGATTAGCAATGCATCTTGGCATAATGCACATACATATGTATGTATGTTGTTAGATGGTATACATAATGCATATTTTAATTGTAAAATATTTATAAGTAGGCATACTTATGTATATGATGGTAGTAAGTGTCAAATATCTATACAAACAGGGTGGAATTCTTTGAAGGGGATCAAATAGATATTAATAAATAAATAAGTACTTTTCGAAAAAATTCAAAATTCACCTTTTCCTTTGAACACACCTGGTATTGTCTCGATTGTGAACTCACGGAGACGCCCACTTTGCACGGAGCTTTCGCATAACCAAACTTTAATCAACAATATGTCCAACACGCTAATACGATATCGAGTTGGAGTGCTATCTCGATTAGCTACATTTGGGATAATCACAAATGTTTATACCTTGATCAGGTTATATTAAGTTTGCCACGAATGAAACGTCGGAGACCCTATAAAATATATATATAAATGATCAGCATGGCAAGCTGAGTCGCTTTAGTCATGTCCGTCTCTATATACGCGAACTAGTACCTCAGTTTTTGAGATATCAATCTGAAAATGTTCATACTTTTCTCCCAAAAAAGCTGCTTATTTGTCGAAACCGCCGATATCGGATCACTATAGCATATAACTATGATACAAACTGAACGATCTGAACAATAGGGCATGTATGGAAAGCTTTTTTTATTTGTTAAGGTATCTTCAAGAAATCATGCTCTTGTAAGGCATCTATTATATTTGTGAAGGGTATTATAGCTTCGGTGCAAACGAACGATAACAATCGCTTTTGGAACGATGAACGTCTTCGGTGATCGTATGACTTTTACTACATCTGATACAATCTTTCATTACATCTGACATAAAACTTAGATAAGCCTCTTCTATCGCCGAAAATGCATGATCTCAAAGTTAGTTCTTAAATATTATATTAAAGCACAAAAATTATTCATTTTGGTATCATTTACCTCGTGATGCATAAGATATAAGCTTTTGTTAGAATTGTTTAATTTGGGAAAGTTTTTTTTTGGTTTCGAGACTCAGACGGTATTACTGACACATACATACATATCGTGCTAAAATTCAGTATAATACTTACTGTTTGAACTCAGGAGAAGATTATATACATAAAGTCCCGACAAGTGGTATCGATTTATATCCCGATTCGCCTCATATTCGAATTAAACAATCAAACTATACTTACCGCAAATTTTTTTCCCAGTTAGCTGGTAATAGAGTCAATTTATTATCAAAACTGTATACATTAGTTCTCATTTATTATTCATATCTTCATCCTATCAGACATATGTGTATAGGAAGACAAGTCAGAAAATGTGTGATTTTTCAACACGAGTAGGACCTATTCTTTTCCTACTGTTTCAACAGGTCATAATATATTTTTGTCATTATATGAGCGAAGCTATAAGAGGTCAAAGTTGGATCTTCGAAAAAAATAACTGTATTATAATTAATACTGACGTTTGAAATAAGCTTAATTTCCAACTTGGAGCGAAAATATTTTGACAAATCAGACAAATTGCTTTTTTACTTATGATTCAATCCCTCCAAAATATTGATTTGGTTCAATACCCAGAAAAAGTAATTAAAGTTGTTTGCTCAGTAATTAAACTTTAAATTCATTTATAAAAGAGAAATTCAGGACTCACGATATAACCTCTTCAAATCGTGCTAATAATATTTCCAAAACAGGGCACAATTAAATACCATCAGGTCAATTTGGAGTTATAATATATTAAGCGAAATAAAGCAAGAAAGCTAGAAAACTAAAATTTTTTGTCCAAAGCTGGATTAAAGCCATTTTTATTTCGTACAAAATTTGCACATACCTTACTTACATCTTTTTCGAAATATTATTTAATTACCTTCCATCAAAAATATTTACACGAGTGAGCTGCTCTAATAAATAAACTTCAGCTAAATGAACCACAGCCTATTTGAGCTTGAAAAAATGCGCATCTTTATATGTATTTTGATAGAAAACTTGTCCAAATCACTGACTTCTTAGGAAAACATTTAAATATTTGTTATCTTAGTGGTTATAAATACACATACGCATATTTAATTTTGTTCAATTTTGTACTAAAAATAGCTTTCAGTTTACTGTCTGGAGAAATTGCAGGCTAATTTCAGAAATTGTCACTCTTAAGTACACACTTAGACTTGGAACTTATTATGTGCAAAACAAACAAATATATATTCATAAATTAGGTTATCACTTCCAAGGAAGTATAAAAATCAGCAAACACAGAGCGCCGCCAAATAAATTGAATATATTTGAATATATAATTTACAGCTACTTATAACAAAATTGTCCGTCAGTTCTGGGACACGTGAATAAAAAACACTTCATTTGCGAGTGACAGAGATAAGAAGTCTAAAAAGCTAGTGCGATGAGTTGATTCCGATATATGTACATATGTATGTATGAGTGATTATGTATTCATGGATGTACTCATATATATGTAGATATATATATAGTATATTTTTATATGCACTCAGATATATGTATGTTTAGTGTTCTGTTATTAACCACCCACTTAAAAACGTCGGAACAAGTAACCAAACAACCAAATAAGTATATTACTATATTAGCACACCACGCTTGGTCAGTAAATTAAGTGAATAACAAAAACAGATAATGTAATAAAAATTAATTAATCAGCAGTAATAATTTATAAAATGAGAGGCAGGTGGTGATGATGGTCATGGTGGCGTATGTTTATAAAATTTTTTAAGAAATTTTGAATTTCACCAGCGAGCTATAGGGGGAAGCACCAGCAGGAATTTATTATATATATGTACATACATACACATTTACATATTTCCATACATACACACTAGAGTGGGAATGATTCTATGAAACAAATTAGTTAAGGGCCGCACCTGATCACAACCTAAAAATATGCGACTTTTGGGAATTAATCAATTGTTTGAAAATGTTGCGAATATATTTATACATATTTTAAGAATACAGAGTAAACTTTTTGAAGATTAAGAAAATTAAAATTTTTCAATATATATTAATATTTTTGTGACGGCATTAAATCGACGGTTTGTAACACCCAGAAGGAAACGTCGGAGACCCTATAAAATATATACATAAATGATCAGCATGATGAGCTGAGTTGATTAAGCCATGTCCGTCCGTATGTCTGTATATATACAAACTAGTCAGCTATCGATCTGAAATTTTGCACCTATCCTTTCTCACTAAGAAGCTGATCATTTGTCGGAGGGCCGATATCGGACCACTATAGCATATAGCTGCCGGAATCAAGTACTTCTATGGGAAACTTTTTGTTGTAATATCTTTACGAAATTTGGCATGGATTATTATTTAAGGCAATAATGCAATCTCCGAAAAAATTGTTCAGATCAAATCACTATATCATATAGCTGCCTTATAAATTAAACAATCAAAATCAAGTTCTGTGAAGGGTATATTAGCTTCGGTGCAACCAAAGTTAACGTTTTTGCTTGTTTTTTCATTTTTCGACCCCCCTACAAATCGACCCGCTCTAATACACTTACATATATGTATACTACTTTCTATTTGGTATTGTTTTTGTTTTGTAAAAATCGGAAACGATTTGTGCATTATCTTAAAGTGGCAGATAAGATAAGGTGAAGTAGATAGAAGCAATGCCAGGCAAAATGCAGAAGAATTGGCAAGAGAAATTCTACAAATTGCTTGGACTATTAATCAGACCACTAAGTATGTATGTATGTATGTAAGCCCACAAATGTTCGCAACTTACGTAGAATCGAATGCCATATGTGGACTGCCAAATATTATTTTTGTCGAAATTATTTTTAAGCAGCTCTACAAATAGAAATAGTTCAGCCAAATATACGCATGAGAGACTTTGCCCTAAATGTACATCTATATTTCGCTGACTTCATTGATTTTTTTCTTTTCGTTAATTCAAGAGAAATTCTTTTATTTACAGCTCAATTAATTGGAACACAAACATTCACATACACACACACAAACAAAAATGTTGCGGCGTCTGATCTGCAAGCCGCCGACTTCTCCAATGTCTTCGTTGCCGTCGCATATGTGGGCGTTGCAATGTGTACGTCACGCTGGAGATCACGCGCCCTGTCGTCGGTCAAGTGGGTGAGTAAACGCGAATATTCTCTGTGCTAATTTTGGGTTCACCTTGAAAATGTTCAGTCATGCCTGCTTATGAGGAAATGTATTAATGTAGTTATTGTACCTACATATGGTATTAATTACAATGGTAGGGACTTTCACTTTCATTACTTTCGTTACTCATGTGCTAATGATAAGCGCTCGATTAGGTATTACTAAATGCCTTGAGCGTACTTTGGTGGCGCGAGTACTGATTTCAAGTGCAAAAAGTAGAAAGATACATATGAAGTGTTCCACTTATGCGGATTATTCTGGTTTAGAGAAAATAGTTCAAAGTACTTAGCAGATGTATCATTTCCGCTATTAATAAGTGTAGCGGTATTGGTTTACACACTCGAACAATAACGTGTACATATTATTTAAGTTAATTTCTCTATAAATTTGGCTTGGCTCTTTGCATGTTTTGGATATTTCAAATTCCAAAACGGGCCTCAAAACAAGCTTATGATGAATGCAATGAAAAAATGGATTCTTGACCTACCAAAATATCAACCTGATTTGCCATTCGTCGCATAGCCACGACAAAGCACCCATGACTACATTTGATATGCGTGGTCTTCCGAGTGTCGGTGGTTCGGTAATACTAGCTATCTTCCAATCGCCAACCATTACTCTCCAGAAAATCGAACAAACTATACTAGTTGCTCAAACAAATGGGCAGCACTTGTGGTACAACCCTGCGTTAACATGTCTGCTGACGCATGCCCAGAAGTGCTATGATTCTTTTTGTAACCATTTATTTTAGTTTTCTATAAGTTATTATATTGATTTTATATCTTATGTTTTGAAAATACAAGAAAAACAGAAATTTGTAATATCATTTATTGAATTATTCCCAATAGTAAAAATTAGCTAAAATATACAAAACAAAACTTGGCAACATTGAAGATAGAAGTTATATCACTTGCACTCAATTAAGTATATTAAGGTATTCGCATACTCTCCTGCTTCAATTCAACTCGACACCAACAAAGTTATTGCTTTCACATGTAAATTTTTTGACAAGAGAGCAGAGAAATTACCTATCAAAAACAGCTATTATTTTCCTTTGTTTCATCGAAAATATGAATATCAATACTTGGCTCCGCCGTAATAAAATATTGCCCTGCTACTGCTGTGATCTTTCGTGTACTATTCTGCATCATTCTTATTGGACTTACTTCGTAGGAGGCCAACTAATGTCTAAACTAGTAAGCGCGGCGTTTCACACATGGCTAAGCTAAGTACAAAAACTCTTCGCATCCTTTAACTTCTTGCATTGCCCACAACAACAACCAGAACAAGGCACTAATGGCCAACCGAACTCTAACAAATAAATATTTGGGCATCATAGGGCGCTTAGTCTGGACCTTACTGACTCCAGCGATCCTAAAATCTTAACTTAAAATTGAAGAAAATCTCCTAACGGTAAATATCCTCCAATTTTGTTATTCCACTTCGAATATATTATCCGAATATCATAGCAAATTTCTTCTATTCCAAATTGTAGTTTGGATTAATTTGCCACGAAGATTGTAATACCCATAAGAAAACGTCGAAGACCCTATAAAATATATATGTACATAAGTTATCAGTTTAACGAGCTGAGTCAATTTAGCAATGATGGTTTTCTCCCCAAGAAACTGCATATTTTCGGAACCGCCGATACCGGACCACTATAGCATATAGCTGCGATACTAACTATCAAAATCAAGTTCTTGTTTGAAAAACTTTTACACTTTATATAATATCTTTATAAAATTTAGCATGGATTATTGTCTAAAATCAATGTTATAATCTACGAATTTTTTTTTAGATCGGACCACTATAACATGTAGCTGCCTATCAATAATGAACTGAACTATCAAAATGAAGTTATTGTCTTGAAAATTTTTTATTTGTGAAGGGTATAGCTTTGGTGCAACCGAACTTAACGTTTTTATACTCTCGCAACATGTTGCTACAGAGTAAAATAGTTTTGTTCACCTTTGTTTGTATCACCTAAACCTAATCGAGTTAGATATAGGATTATATATATATATATAAATGATCAGAATAAAGAGACAAGTTGAAATCCGGGTGACTATCTGTCCATCCGTCCGTCTGTCCGTCCGTCTGTGCAAGCTGTAATTTGAATAAAAATTTAGATATCTTTATTAAACTTCGTAAACATGTTTTTTGGTATCGTAAGACGGTTAGTATTGCGCATGGGCGAAATCGGATTACAAACACGCCTATTTGCCATATAACACCATTTTAAATTCCATCTGATTTTTTAACTTTCCACTATGCAAATCAAGCAAGAATGATTGTATCGGAGATAATGCGTTTAAAGTATGCCACCTTGTGACCAAAAATTGTCTAAATCGAACCAAAACTGTTCAGGCCCCCAGGTACTGAAAATGTGGACCCGAGCGCTTATAGTTGACCTTTTACCGAAAATATCGGTCAATGTGTAAGATATATAATTGATATTCATATAATAAAATATAATTGATAATAGTATGTCTTTGTGTCAAAAATGGCTTGAATAGGATCAATACAGGAAGTAGCCCTCATATACCTAATATAAAGATTTTTGAACTTCCGGGTGACTTTAGGCCGCATATATCGGCCAATATGTGAGTTATTTCAAAGAAAATTATAGAGCGTGTTTTACTCATTTTTTTTTACGGGTGAGGGGATGGAAGTGCCTTCCGGATCATCAGTGCTGTCGTCACAGCAACGGTATGTGCCACTTGTCACTAAAAACCCCCTCTTTTACTCATAACAAGGTATCTGTTTAACTAAAATGGATCAAATCGGGTGACAATTTTGCCTAGCCCCCATGTAACTAATATCAGAATTTTCGAACATTCTTTTGACTTTACTCCATATGATTGGTGATGGTATGTGAGGCACCTTAATGAAACAGATTAGGTTAAATTAATAAAAAATTGTATTCATTGTCAAAAAATTATTTCTTTTCATACTCCGCAATACAGTTGTAATTCATTCTATATAAAATCAATTATAAGCGTATACAACAAAACACAAGAACGATTTCTCATAGTTTGAGTAAGTTTAGTTCACAAATTGCTCTAATTAATTGCACTGGGAATGTTAATAATTGAGGCAACAGTTCCTACTTCTAATTATTAAAATATATAAAGAAATGTCAAACTCTGATCTCTCTCTGATTTCGCGAGAGCATAAAATGTTCAGTTACATCCGAACTTAGCCCTTCCTTACTTGTTTCTTGTTTTTTCTGTTTATTAAATCTTTCGGTTTTGGGTATTTTATAAAATAATTTTTTTTTTATTGGAAACTTTTTCGAATATTTTAAGTTAGGATAGTATAATAAAGTGCGCCTAGAAATGGGGTTAAAAATAAATTTCCCTCGCAATAGTGGCACATCTACATGCATAAGTAAAACACAGTTACCCAATTATTACCGCAAGAACTACATCCTGCATCCTGTTGCGGCTAATATACGCTTAAATAACAGGTTGTAACAAGTTTTCGACACCAAACTGTTTCACCTTAATTCAATTGGGTTTATTTTTAGCGAAAAAAACAATAAATATTGTGACATTAATCTACTTTAATGGACTATCGTATGTTTACACATATACAAGTACTTATACAAATAAGCTCCAGCACTAATGGCATAAACGCTTGATACGCCGCAACATTGTTAGGGCTTTTATGTATTCACTTTTGGTCCATTAAGATCACACGCTACTCGCATGCAACGGATTGGTGTATTTCGAATGCATTCAGATTCCATGCTTACTAATGTTATCGATAACACTGTGAATACATTTCGAATATATCAAATTTTGGAATATTTCCAATGTCATTGACTCACTCATACTTGTTTCATTCCGGTCTAGACAGTTCAAGTATGCAACATGTCAATGAATGTAGAAATTAATAATTGTCAAACAATTACAAGAGATTCGCCTCTTATTGGTGAATATCGATGCGTGTTTAAATGTGTGTGCTTATAGTAAACCGCTAACCCATTTTGATAAGCTGATGGCTAAGCTGGGGGCGCTGAACAAATTGGTATGTAAATTTACATCAGCCATTGATACTACCGTATTAACTGTGTGTTATAATTAGAAAAAGAAAAAATGAGAAAAAAAATTATGTGTGTTTGTAATACCAAAATCGAACTGTTATATCAAAGCCATGCTACCATGTAGTGCACAACGCAATTATCCGATTGTACTATGAAGATAAGCAAAATAAACGAATTTCACAGATTGCTTATGCAATTTATTTGTTGCGCATACGCCCTGGAGTCAGGTGAACCAGTGTTTATAAGGGTATTTATGTATGTGCATATATACAAATAAGTGAAATGTGAATCTAATGCGCAATAACTGGAAGCATAAAAATAAATTAATGTAGTTGAAAATTATTATTAACATTTATTACAAAAGCGGACTTAGTAAAAGAAATATTTATAAGCACTTTAAAAGATTAATTAAGGATTATATTAGCCTTACCGCATTGGACAATGTCCAGTAAGAACTCCTAGGACTGCAGCAAGATGAACTTTGCTAGGGCAAGATCCTTTTAGGTAGATATTTTTGAATATCGAAAATATCGAAATATGGAGAAATTCTTAATGAAACTTTTTTATAAACAATTTTATGCTAATTCTTCCTGTCAATAATTAAAATTTTAATCAGCGATGCTCGTAAAGGTCCTCTTGAAAAAGATTATTCTGAAGATTGGCGCAATAACCGTCATTTTTGTACACTCAAACATGCCTTTATTAAAGCCTGAAAAAAAAGAAATTCGATAAAATTTTCCTTACTCACAACAATATATTTTTAAGTTATGCTTTCTTCGACGTCTCTAACCTGGTCTAACACCTTGAGTGCTATACGATATTGTATAAAGTTATTTAGATCGGGCTCTATCTTAGTCATGACATTTTCGTTATCATTTGATTTGCTTTCCTATTTATTATTTATAGAGTGAATAATACCACCTCACGTAGAAGTAAACTTTCTCACCTTACTGAAAGGCGCTTAAAAAGTCGCCTACCGCCATGAATAATGCGCCAGCAATGATTCACTTAGATATACAATGGCAAAGTGTAATCTCTGCTTAGATATTACGTATGTTTATCAAAAATTGGAAATTGGTGCGTAAGCATAATTAAATATGTACATACCTACAAGTATGAAAATATAATTTATATCTTAATCAAAAATACTACTGGCGGTGTGCCTTATAGTTACCGCTGGGAAAACCTATGACGTGAAAGTTATTGAATCATAAATGAAAACATAATATATATGTATGTGTGCGAGTGCCTTACATATATATTTAATTAATTACACTCCAAAGTTTACAGGAGACGACAAATTATGCAGAGGGTATATAAAATCACATGAAATACTCGTATATACTTCTACGAATAATACTCCATTAGATTATTCAGAAGGATTTATTTGTGATATATGAAGATTTATCATGATTTGCTTTCACATTTTTGGCGTCCATAAAGCAGTTTCACTCCTGTTTAAATCCTCCTTTGACACTTATACATATATATTTGTATGTATACTTGTATGTATATATGATCAGCGTGACGAGCTGAGCCGATTTATCCATGTTTGTCTATTCATCAGGCCGTCTGTCGATCCGTCTGTGAATACGCGAACTAGTCCCTCAGTTTTTGATACACCGATCTGAAATTTTGCACACGTCTTTTTCTCCCCAAGCAGGTGCTCATTTGTCGTACACTACACCGTACGAGACCAGCCAAGGCAACCATATGAATGAAATCGTGTTCCGCAAATAGAAAAGGCATTCCCCTTTACTTTACCTAAGTACTAACATAAACCTCATAGACTTGGGACTTAGTTTCTTAAATTAAAAAAAATCCATAACATAAGTAGTAGAACTCAATATTTTGTTTCATAGCTGCTAGAAAACTACATTGATGGCACCGAATATTTTACATAAGTTTAATAGTTGCCTGTCTGTTTTAACATTACTATGATGGGATAAAATCGTAGAACATTAAATTGTGTTTAAAAATAGTTTTGCAAATATTTTATAAAAATTGCAAAAATGTCAAGAATAGGAAGCATCTAACAAATAAAGAGTAATATTTACTCGGAAAAATACTTACTTTACAGTTGATAAATATGGCAAACTATTAAAATATACTTTATTTTGAAATCTTAGTTAAGCAAGAACTTTCCCATTTGATATACATACATATGCATGTTTGTAATATAAAAATCGTTTTCAGACTCCTATCATTATTGAATATCAGTGCTGGTAACTTTATTTTTAGCGCATATTTATGTACTACATACTACGTACAAATATAGCACCGGACGTAATCATCTGCTTTGAGCACGTGGCTATCACTTTAGTAGTCATGGGTTTAAATGTCAGTAGAGGTAAGAAACAATTAAAGAAAAATCTTTTTGTTAGAAGATATTTTTTTGGCCTGTAATATTACATACAACTCCAAATTGTTTCTAATATGATAAAGAGTCTTATATACTAAGACTCTATCGTCTTCGGTTTAGTGTGTACTATATAGGGATGTTTAATTACGAGTATGTAAAGGGTGTTGTTTTAGAGGTATATAACTTTTATTTTAAATAACTCACAAAAAAATTAATGGAATTTTTTATTGTCAAAAAAACACATCGTTTGAACAGAATTTCCCACATTTTACTACCGAATTCATTTTATGAGGACTATGCTGTAGGATAACCAACCCTACCTCGCCAATAAAGGTGATGTTGACTTTGCACAGGTCAGTCGTTATTGTTTTATGAGCACAGATTATTGACACAAAAAGTTGTCAGTGGACCTTTTCTGGATAAGATTCGGTAGTCAAAAGTTCAGCTTATCGTTAGTTCAGTCTCGATCATTGACCTTTACATTGATTCCATCTTGAACATTTAACTATTTTTTTGCGGTTGCAAATAAACTTGGGGTGTCTTTTCAAGATATTTCTCATTCTAAATATAACAATTTGACGATTAATGTACCCGGAAAAGCAAAAATGTGAGTCATTGTAAATTTGTCGCAAGTTTACCGAAGTACACTGAACTTAAATGACATGCGCGTGTCTCTACTTTGACAGGTGGTTTGACAGTTGTCAATATAAAAATTTCCATGCCTCTAAAAAAATATCTTTTATATGTAATAATAAATATATATGTTTCTATACACCATATATAATATTTAATGCCCAAATGCATGCAAATTACCAGTAGTCAAATTATGTGTCCGTACGTATATTCATATCTTATCTCAAGCATTTTGCGCCAATTCATACGCAATTTCCACGCGTTAAGTTCATAGAAGTGCTGAGTAATAATTTTTTTTTTTGCCAAATTTAGAGTGCTTGGAAACTGGTAATTATTAAGTAGTTTCCCAAACTAACTTGAGGTAGGTCATGAATTGGAATAATCTGGTGCTTGTATAAAAGGCTGATAAATGTCTGGGCTTGAAATAAAATTGCATGGTTTCTAAATGTATCTATACGCGTGTGTTGGTGTGTAGTGTAAGCGAGTGATCTTTTCCACTGTATATACAATTTGCAAAATCTAGAAAAATGCTAATTTAACACGCGGCAGCGCGAAAAGTGAAATGAACTTGGCAACAGCGGCAAGCTGTACTCGGCATATATGATATAATTGTATCTACATGTGTATCTATGTGTGTAAGTATAGTATTTGAATATCTGCGATCAGTGCTTGCGTAGATAACTTGTGAGAGCAGCTGCAGCCCATAAATGGCACGCGGCATCAAACCAAACCGATAAAAACAATTATATTCACTCAGCAACACTCGCCAACCTGTCGCGAGGCGGTTTATTATATATGTACATATAAATACATATATACATAGTATATGTGAAGGTGTGTGTATATTTGGATTAATACATACTACACTACATTACTGTTATGGCCTAAATACCTCTATTGCTGTACTTATGAAATTTCAGTACAACTTAACAACAAACGCCTAGTAACTGTCGAAAAACTCTTGGCGTAGTGGGCGGCAGCTGAGGTTGCTATGTACATACGTTATGCTAATAAATAACGGTCAACTGATCGCCAAACAATCAATCATACGCACTATGGAAGCGTTCAAATGGCGCCGTTCAGGTGTTTTTCAATTATCCGCATAATTTCCATGTTTTTGTTTACAGTCATCTCGTTGTTATTTTCGCAAAAATTTACATTTTAACCTTTTGTTTTATTTTTGTAATTTTTTTCATTTTTACGCCGTTAACTAAATTTATTTGCAATTCTTATGGAGTTTGTGACAATCGCTCACTTGCAAGACAATCGCTTCAGGGGCACCTGTATATAGATTTATTTTGAAAAATAAAAATACCGCTATTCTGGCATATTTTACGGTAGGTCTTAATGCAAATTTTGTCGCACATATGCACCGTTACTTGTATTGGCAGGTTAGAGCAAAAGTGGATTTAGGGCACTTTTCATTGTTCTCTTTTAAAATTCCAGGCATATTTAAGTCTCGCAGATGTATTTACATATGTAAGTATATACTATATTTTGTAATAAAGTGCTATATAAAAGTCATTCCATTCAATTTTAATAAATAAGCCAACTCCTCTTCGTGTATATTTTTATACTCTCGCAACATGTTGCTAAAGAGCATAATTTTTGTTTACCTAACGAATTTTTGTAAAACCGAAAACTAATCGAGATAAATATCGATATATACAAACATGAATGATCATTATGACGGAACGGGTTGAATTCCGTTCGTCCATACAAACGGAAACATGAGTAAAAATTGAGATAACTTGACATTCTAATGTCACTGTCTGAATATAGAAGAAATCGAACTACAACTACGCCTACTTTCGATAGAACACAATTTTGAATACCATGTGATTCTTTCACTAAACAGTAGTTAAATCCAGACCCAATCAAGCTATCGAAACAAAACTTTGCAAAAATAGTGCCTTCAAGCTATGCGATATCACCCATGATACCGAATATGTGGACCTCAGATACATTAATGAACTTCAAATCGCAAATAAAAAGCACCTGTGTCAGAAATAGATAAAATTGGGTTCAAACCTCCTCTATTTCCCATTATACCTATATTATTATTATATTATATATCTTATTAAAGTACAGAAAACACCTTTTTCCTGTTAATGATGTGTCTGAAGCCAAAAACAGACAAAATCCGGTCAATACCCGCCCTCGCCTCCATAAACTTGATAAAGTCATTTCCGACTTTCCAGTTAACTTTAAACCCTTTTCTAGCTCAATATGCACGATATTTTAATAGCTGCTCAGTTGTCGGAACCGTCAATATCGGACCACTATAAGATTTAGCTGTCAATCAAACTAACCGTCACACTTCAAGTTCTTGTATGGAAAACTTTTTATTTATGAAGGGTATGAAAGCTTTGATGGGACCGAAGTTAACGTTTTTTCTTGTTTTTGATTGAAAAAATTATGTAAAAAAAGTTTGTTAACATATTGGTTTATACAAGATATCTACGGTTGTCCTACAAAGCAATTATTGTTACCGAAAGTGATGTAATACATTTCTTCTGATTCTCAAATGAGTCATGCTGTTATTGATTGAAGACAGTTTCGGCTCAATCTAACGAATGGCAAACCAGTAAAGTCAATATCGTTGTTCCACACAGGTAATCAGTGATTTACCAAACTTGTTGGGCAGTCAATTGTAAATAATCATATCAATTCCTTCAATTTCAAATTAAAAGCCTTTTATCACGCTTAGACCACTGCAGAATTCTTTGAAAATGGTAAAAAGTGAAAGATATTCATAGTACGTTGAAACCCACTTTTCGTTTTTACCGGTAATCGAGTTAAACCGTCTTTATACCTTAAAACTTCAATCACGGGACTTCCCTTCTTATTCCCCACCACATATCGCCCGTAAATTACTTTTTCTTTTATTTATATTATTTTATCTCCCATTTCCACTGGGTTTCATCCTACTATGATTTTTTTTTTGCTTTCAAAAACTATCTACCCTGGTCTATCTACCAATGGAATCACTATTAACTGATAATTTATGTATATACATTACTAGCTTTTCGATTTCAGCATCAATCTATCATTCTCCGTTTTTTCTACACGGCGCTTGTCGTTTACTCAAGGCATCGAATCAAAAAAGCTTCTAGTACAAATATATACAAAAAAAATTACATAATCAGGTATAACTCAACAATTTCAGTCATGTTCACCATTTTAGTGAGGTATACACATAGTCTTGTATTGAAATTTACTGAATAACTTTGTTAATGTAGTTGGACGTCGAGACTAAATAAAATCGTCAAAACTCTTTTTAACGTCAGGACAATAACCTACAGAAGTCTCAAATAGTGTATTCCATGGAACTCTTTTTTATTGTTTTTCAATATTTGCTTCTTAAATTACAAAATAGAAAGTAAAAATTACAACTTACAATACCTACAGGAGAGAACTCAATGTAAGAGTACACATATATATGATTCTTATGAATTCTAAACAAACTTTCATGAAAATTAAAATTTTTTCTCTGTATTCAAGTATCAAAGACTTTGAGTAACGCGGTTATAGTGCTCAATAGCAATCTTTCTGCGACGGCGACTGTTTCTGATTGGCCAAACGCAATTGCTCCAAAGCGATTTCGTGCGCACGAAAATGCTCACGTGTCGCCTTCTCCAAAGCAGCCAAAGCGGCATCATTGCCATAGACAATTTTCATATTGTCGGCATTCGACGCGAACGGTGCAATTGGAAGTATGGGTGCGGCTGGCGCTAGTGGTGTAGTGGGTGCACTGGGTACACTGGGAGCAACGGGTGCAATCGGAATGAACGGTGTAATTGTTTTCTGGTCGAAAGTTGCAGCGATTGGCTGTTCAATCTTTTGCGCCTGTTGCAAGGCGGATAGCGCGGAAGCCAGAGACGCCGCTTCGGCTGTTGCTGGCGTATCCTTACCACCCTGTTGATTGGTTATGTAATGCAAGAAGTAGGGATTATCCAATTTGAGATAACCTTCATTAGCGTCACGCAAATAGTAAACGGCGGGGTTAGCATAGCCTTGCTGTTGCGCGGGTTTCTGAGCGCCTATATAGTAGGCAGTAGTTGCTATGGGCGTGGCGATCTGTTTGACATTACCGCCGGGTACAGCATAACGTAATAAATACGGATTGGTCGCATATTTTTCCGTATCGCGTATATCATATGTAACAGCCGGATCCGACTGGTATTGTGATTGTATTAATGATTCAAGCGTATCTTTTGGAGGCGCCGTAATCGGTAATTGTGATTTTTCAGCGTTGTGCTCTGCTTCCTTATTTTCATTTGCCTGCTCCAAACGTTCCTGCTCTTGGCGACGTTGCTCTTCTTGTTGCAAGCGCAGCAGTTCTTTAGCTTGCAAACGTTGTTCTTCTCTTAAGCGCTCAGTTTCGGACAAAAGTTCAGCTTCACGCTGCTTTGCCTCTTCTGCGCGTAAACGCGCTTCTTCATCAGCAGATTGCTCCGCAAATTTATCAACTGACGCGTCATATAACAAGGGTTTTATTTCAGTTTCAAGTTGCGCCTTTTCCGTTTGGCTTGTCTGACTCGCCTTCAATTGTGCCGCCTTCACCAGCTTGAGATGCTCTTCACGTGCGCGCTGCACCTCAGCCGTTTCTTGCACGCCGGCATACAATTGCGGCTCACTCTGATAAATATCTGATTTTGCAGTAGCTGCTGGCGCGCTTTGCTGTAGTGTCTGCGTGGACGCAGGCTCTTGTGCCGACAGTTTAAATGTGTTTTCACTAGTTAAAGGTGCAACGAATACTTTATTTATCATTTTCTCGAATTCGCGCAAATGCTCTTCGCGTGCGCGTTGCACTTCCGGCGTGTCTTTCACAGATGTGAGCGTTTGTTCTGGCTTTTGCTCGTTGGTCGGCGCGAAGGTGCTCAACGTATCGCTTTTAAACGCATCTGACAATTGTTTTTGCTGCTCTAAATAGGTATTGGCCGACTGTTCGAGATTCTGAGTTTCCGCTGTCTTTTGTGTGAGCTTTTGTGCGCTGCTCTGACTTTGCAGCTGCTTTTCTTCATACTTCTTGCCTTCTTTCTCATCTTTCTCTGCGCGCAATTTCGCCTCATTCCACAAGCGCAAATGTTCCGCCTTCGCACGCTGTACTTCGGGTGTCTCCTGCAAATAACTTAAATTCTCAACTATTGTTACACCCTGTACCGGCTGCTGTACGCCTTGCTGTGCCGTATACTCAATACGCGCCACTTTTGGTAACTGTACGCTGCTGCTGTCGCTTGCTTTTCCAGCTGACGCCTGTAAGGCTTGCACGCGCTGCACTTGCTCCTGATAGATGCGCAAATGCTCTTCACGCGCCTTCTTCTGTTCGGCTGTTTCACTTAAGAATACAGCCTGTGTTGGTGCATTTTGGGACAACTTTTCGCCTGCGTCTAGTGAATAAATTGTCGTCTTCGTCGCTGTTGCACCAGCGCCAGTTTGCTGCGTTTTGCCTTGCTCTTCCTGCTGCAGAGCCAGCATCGCTTGGCGTCGTGACTCATTCCAGAAGCGTAAATGCTCCTCGCGTAGCTGCTTTATTATTGAACTTTCTTGACTAGGGTCACTTTTCGGCGCTGTTAATACAACCTCGAATGCGTTGATTTTCGCAAGCATATCAGCTGTAGGCTCTTTACCCACCGCTTTTAGGCGTTCCAGTTCCTGTCTATATTGATCGTACACTTGTACGGCCCATAAGCGAAAGTGTTCATCGCGCTTTTTTATAAGCTCAGTCTCATCCTTCAGTGTACCTTTGGCGAGTTGATTTAAATATTCTTCATTAGTGATTCTTCTGCTTCCAATCGGCTCTGGATATCTGTAACCGAATAGTTGCGCCGCATTCTGTTGATTGATATAGTGCGCATAGTCCGGTGCTAATGCATTCACTGCGGTAAATTCACCACGCGCTGGGCTGTAAGCTAGTAATTCCGCACGATATGGATAACCGGCGACAGCGGCCGCATTAGCGCTACTGCTAGCCGCTAACAAGCTGAGCACCGAAACCACAAATAATCGCATCGCTGTTGCTTCTCTGAATTATGAAAACGCCTATTGGCTCCTGCTCTCCTTCAGTATATATATATGTTGCAGATACCGCACAACTGCTACGTTCGCAAAGTAATTCCACACGGAGTTGCCGGAAGTAGCCTAGTACGTCGCCTGGCGCTCGATACAAAACTGATGTCTCACACTGTCCACTCCTGCCTATTTATACGAATTGCCCACAGCGTCTACTCGGCCCTTTTCAATGCGAACAACTGTACTTAAGGTATTCTTAATGGATTCTTAAAACAGCAAAACAAAACATAAAATAGTTAACTAAATTAAACTTAGTCCGGCTGATGCGCCGAAATACGATACCGCCTGTGGTGTCCGCTACTATTGCAGTTATGCTCGCAAAACCAGAAATGCCGTTGCCAGCTCTAGCGTGTCCTTGAGTTGCTTTTTATACGCTTCATCTTCCCATTACTCTTCCAACTGCTTATCAGTGTGTTATTTTTAGCTGTGGCCAACAAATGTTCGGGGAAGGATCGATTCGCACGTTACCTTGCGCTTTGCAACGGTTACTGGTAATAAATTTCGCATTGCCCCAGGTCGTCGATATCAAGTTTACACTTGACACTTGCGGTTTGCCCTCTCGACAGGGATCGACGTTTTATCGTGCGCTCCACCGCCCATATATATCTACATACATATACATACATATATATATTTTGCCTCCTTTCCTCTTTGCCTTGTGGCAGCTGCACGTAATTGGCTTGATTGCAGTTCAAACTGTAAATATCATTAAATGTCCGCTAACCCAATTCCTGTGCTACTCCCTTATGGTCTCTCTTGTTGCCTACTGCATATTTATATATACCATCTTTTGTTTTATTCTCCGTACAGTTAAACGTTGTCATCCTGCATTGCATTTCAATACGCCGCATTTATCGTAGTTTTAATGTCGCTTTGGTCCGAAAAAACGGTGGGCAATTTATTGATTTTTTTATGACCTCAAGGCTGATCTCGACACTTTAGATTGATCGTCTTCAAAACAACTCCGTACAGTTCTGTATCTTTTATATTTTATTTATGGCCAGTTTAATCAAAATTAAAAGCAATTTTTTCTTTGATTTTTGTTTTAGCTCCTTTAGACTTCAGGCACAGTTGCGTTCAAAATAATTCCATAATTTGCCATAAAATAGCGACTTTAGTAAGGATATTGTAATCATAATTGTTAATGCCTTTTTTTACAAAAATTAATTTAGATATAACCCATTTTCCATTATTGCCGAAATAAGCAACTCAGCGACTCCAGTTAATCCACCACCATGTCCCATTCGTTTCATGCTTGGATAAATCAACTTAAATTGGGTAATTTTCTCTGTAACCAAGGGTAGGGTCCACCATTTTAAACTTACAAAGCTAAAAGATTTAGTTCCATGAACTAGTTAGTCTCTTTCTTATTATATTATGATTTTCTAAAGTCAAATAGTGATCGAAGTTTCGGACACGTATTGTGTATATTACCCACGAACATGTCAAGAACCAGTTCCAGTAAACAGGTGTGACTTAGCACAGAACAGACCATGTAGACAACCACAATAGTTGCAGTCGAAAGTCGTAGTAAGGATTGCGTTGTTTCAGTATTGTGATGCTTACGATCTCCTAAAGGTAGATAAGTGTTATTAAAACCCTTTGAACATCAAATGCAGAGCAGATCTTAAGATTCTAGACTTTAATTTTTGTATTTTAGGATTAATTTAATAGATTATGAAGGGACTAACATTTTTGAAGCCAACTCTGAACGAATGTCGATATATACTGCATTATCTATCAAGGTGGGCCACTATTAGAATCGTATTTCACGCTTTTGCTGTTGGTTAAAGCAGAGGGGTCCATCCAAGATGTACGGCACCTAACACCAGTAGTGCTGAGCGATTACAATTAATCTACTAATGAAAGATGCCGAAGTTATGGAAATCTGGTTTCTTATTCCATCGGCACAAAGTCCTCAGCTTTGAAGGGATTCAATGAAGCTCATATTAGAAAACAGTGGTTTTTCTTTTTCTAATAGATTCGAAATCTGTTAATATCACATAGTTCCAGAAGTTATGCCGTCATAAATAGTATCATGCTGTAAAAGGATAGTGGGGCCCAAATGGAGACTAACGCCTCGTGTAACTCATTGGCTCTACACAGCAGTTGTAAGACCGTTGAGATGCATATGGAAAGCATACTAAGAGCAGTTAGTTTATGGAACTCTTAGAACAACGTCAAATCAGGCACTAAACGTAATTTTATATTGACTGGATGCGAAATCAGCTCTTTAACTGACAGAATCCTCCCAATTAGAAGTCTGTAGTAAGGAGCACTTTAGAATAAGCAAGTTTCCAACACCACGTATTTGCATAATCCTTTAGAATTAAACTCAAATTCGGTCCCCAGTATTCCCTTACCTTTCAGAGAGGAGTGGGATAGGAGTGAAGTAGACCGTAACACAGGTATAAGTATCTATACGGATGAGTCCAAACTACATAGATAATCGAGTGGAAGGTGGTGTCTTTTCAGCAAAACTAAATACCAGGGTATATACAGACAGCTGCGGCTTTGAAATCACTAAAGTCTCTTATGGTTTTATTGAAGATAGTAAAAGAATGTCTTGATCTTTTAGTGGATCTAACATCCTATTGCACGATAAACCTGCAATATGAACCAAGATTCCTGGAAATTGTGAAGCAGATGAACTAGACAGAGCAGACACTGCCCTACAAATAGACTCCGATAAAGAGGGAATATATGTATATGACTCCGGTTACTGGTTGATATTTAATCGACAAACATGTTATAGATATACTTGTACATAACCGAGTCTCGGGCTAGCCAATCCCTAACTTGCTCAACTAGCAAACAAACGTGGCAGGCATGAGTGCTAACAGGTCACTGTTTTATTGGCAGACATGCCAGCAGACTGGGCATAGCATACAACAACTATTGAAGAGATTAAAAAACATATTCTATGCGAATGCAGGGCTTTGTTTAAGAAAAGACTCGCAACTATTGGTCCGGGATTTTTTGGCGATATCTCGGAAGTTACACATAAACAACTTTTTGTTAGATGAACTTCATCAGGAGCACAGGTGGTTCAGAGGGGACATAATAGAGTGAGGAGATTTTATTCCCGGTGGCTTCATTATGGGCGTCCTAGAGGCCTATGTGCGTCGTCAGACATACCCCATCTACATAATATGATTTTTAGTGTATCTGGGCCATTTAAGAAATGGAAGCAAGAACTTTGGCATCGTATGCGTCGGACTCGACAAATGCTGGAGACAGTCACCGACATTCCGCCCTTCCGTACTTCCGCCCGTATCAAACCAAATTTGTGAAAAGTAATGTCCGTAGTGGTAACCTAGAAAAGTATTCACTATCATCAAACTCTTTGAATATATACTTTTTAAGTTAATAAATTTAAAGATGAAACCAGCAATTAGCAATTAATAATTACTTTTGTTATTTGTTTTTTTGAAAACGCGCTTCCTACAGTAGCTCAGCTTTGCATTGTTCGAAATTGCTATGCGCATGGTGAACTTCCGTTTTTTCCATCACATACTATTCTTACAAAAATGGTGCCTACGTGGGAATTCCACGCTTCCTACACTCAACGCCAACAATTATTTTAATTCGTAGCTTATGTGGCAATATCGCGTCTTATCATAGGACATTGCAATGCATATGTACGAATAAAAACATACAAATATATGTACATATGTACAGAAGGCCTTCTAGGCAACTCAGTATGGTTATATATATACCTCGCCTCGACTCAGATTTACTCAATCACATCTTGGTCGACTGAAGTCCGCCATTTAAATTCCATTTCTGGTGACATCGAATCACACAGGCCTTGTAGTATTTACATACAGACAAATTTCCGCAACACCATACATACATACGAGTATATAGTATACATACTTTCCTCGCCATAGCATGGAAATGCCAAGAACACGCTTTCTGCTGTTGCTCAAATCTAAAAGGGTTACATGTTTACTTTCTGACAGTAGTTGTCCCGCTGGCGATCCATCGCCCGCTGCCTATCAGTGTTGCGGCATTTCTCGTGTTGCAATGATGAGATGGCGAAACAGGATTTTGCGCAAACCGGTTGCGCCGGCGCAGTTTCGTTGTTTTTTTATGGTATTAAGAAATACCTAAATTGAATTAAATTTAATACATGCTAAATTGAATTCGACGCCAATCAGTCGCCAGACGATCGCTATATGCAACGAAGTGTCTTGCGACATGTTTCCCTTCAGCCAGAGCTTTACATGTACATATGTATGTGTGTTTGTATATATTAGCTTGTGTAAGCGCGCCGGGGAAATTACGTCAAAGAAAGTGGAAAAGTTTCGCAAATGTACATATGTATGTATTTATTCATTTTAGATTGCTAAAATTTAGCACAAATAAATTTATTTTCGCTAAGCCCAAGCAAACGGTGTTTGTATTTTCTTTGAAGGCGTTCGTATCTGAATAGAAGGAATGCCCCTAAACGGAGCATTGACCAGCACGGCTCGTTTGATGAATCAATTTCACAAGATTAACAAATAATTTCATACATACAAACATAAGCACATATATACATACAGAGTTAGGTATGCGTGCGATGAGGTTATAGGAACTCCTCAGAAATTTCCAAAAATATTTCAATGGTACGCGTGAGTATGTGCGCTTGCTCACTGTGTCTTCAAAAATATAGCAAAATAATTAAACGTTCGCATTCGCCGCCGAAACTCATGACACCGTAGTTACTAAGCGCGTATAAATCGCTTGCCTCTTTCAACTTTACTGTTAACTTTAAAATCACAGTTGGCGCCAACGCTCATTTGCTTCATCACTCAATCACTTACTTACTCTTCGAGCTTCAAATGCTCACGCATTCATTCATTAAACCGAAGTGAAAAAGCCCAAATTCAAAATTTTACGGGTGCAAAGTCCAACAACAGCTGGCCGGCTCAATAGCGTTTATGTCAGGGTGTTATATCGCTTGAATCAAATACATACACAAAATAACAAAAAGTCACAAAATGCTAATTAGCGCATTTATTGCGCCTCTTGGATATATTAATAACCCCATTAGCCGGTATAGTTGAGTGGTTTCACGTAGTCACCCAGTGATAACTTTATTGGAATGCGTATTGGCGATCACGCACAACGAACGCGAGCACAACGTGAGCATAGCGCAAACACTTG